TGTCTGTTCCATCGATTCTTCATTCAATATCTCCTCTCTGTCAACAGCTCTCTCAGCCAGCTTGAAATCAGATCTCATTCGTGAAATAACACCATCTACATAATTTTTCGTAGCCATATGTTCCGTTGGAGGATGTCTTGAAATAAACTTTTCAATATCCTTTATTTTGCTATCAATCATTCTCAATGTATCAGTCGACTGCCTGATGATGGTATCCAATGAGACGAGTTTATGTTTCAATTGGACTAATTCGATGATGTTACCGCTGCTGCCAGCTGATCTGCGGCCGAACTTGTCAAGACTCATGATTGACGACTCTCAGTATATAAGGTTAGCTTCACGAAGTTCATTAACGATTGCCACTATTTCATTATCGAGTGATGTGTTTCCAGCTTCCTTAGAAGCAATGAGTAGTTTCAAGCGGTCTACGAGTTCATTTGGATCGTCCCAATAGATATATTCCACGGGGTTTTCGTTGTACGTCAAACCACTACCAATCGTTGAACGCCTACCGCTGTTTTTTCGTATCTGTACAATAAGTGGCTTGATGACGTTCGTATACTTCCATCTCTTAGACCCTTTCAATTTTCCATCCTTGTTTATATAGCGATCACTCAGCTTCAAAATTTCCTTGTAAGCCTGCATATCTTCATCGTTATAATCTGAAGGATCATCATAGAAAATGAGCTGATACACCCCTGGAGTTCCTCGTACTTGTTTACCACCAATCTTTATGAATCCAGTTCTTTTATCAAAGTCAATTTCCTGCGTCCCCAGAAACCATTTCGACGTTTGAGGATCGTAAGTTGGACCATACATCTGATCTATTTTGTCGCTGTAATCCCAATGTTCTCTGAGATATGGATGCACCATGACTGGGTATTGGTCTAGGTATTCATCGATTACATCATACGGAATACTTTGTTCTGGAGTGATATTTTCGTTCAACAGGATATCATCATCATATTCGTATTGATCATCATCATCCACAAAACTTCTGGTTCCACCCACCTCTTCCATTGGAATAAACTGCGTTTGCTGCGCCTGTTCTTCTTCTTTTTTCAGTTCAGGTGGCTCTTCTTTCTTCATACTGGTGCTAAACTGGGCTCTTGCCAGTAAATCACGATTGGCCTTTGACGTTTTCACAATTTCTTCCAATGGTTTGGATATGGGCTTGAACATTTTGTTCAGCGATTCGTCCTCCTCAGATTTACCCAGTTTCAAGGCCAAGTACTTTTTTCTGATTGTACGCGTGAGCTCTGCAATTTTCCGTTTACGTGCTGCAGCCTGATCGTCATCACGTTTGGATGGCATTCTTCTTCTGCGCATGACTTGACTTGACGACCTCATGATGTCGAATGACGTGTCTACACTTTTATATATTTGTCGAAACCTTGGCGATATCTGCCGTTATGCAAATCAAAATCCTTGACAATCACTAGAGTACCATATGTGACACTCCAACATTCGGAGCACAATTTTTTAAAGACGTCAAAGCTCATGTCTGGAGAGACATGTTCATCAAACACATGCTTCAAGTTGATCTCGTCCTGTTTGAACAGCACCACCATGTTACAATTGTCTCTCAATAATTGCTTAGGAATTTTAGAGTAAGTTTGGCAAAGATAGGCAGCATCGATATCTTTGTGTCTACACATTGAAAAATATTCTCGAATTTTTTGTTGCTCATCACACGCCACATCGTCAAATATGAAAATCGAGTTGGGTTTCGCCTCAGATGGGCTTATTATTTCATCGTTGTCTCTGTACGGAAAATATCCCACCTCCTTCACTGCATCCAACACCTCTTGAAGTAGCTGATATTTCGGTTGATACAACGACTTGGAGTACACGTAGACATTTTTGAATCTCGCGCCATTTCGATTGAAGAGTAACGAAAGCATGGCGTTTGTCTTGCCACAACCACTCGGTCCACACATGATTGCTCGAAACGAGTTGGGTAATAATTTTCCATGTTTATTCGGTGTCCTTGGTGACGTGTGGAGGTCCAAATTTTCGATAGGTAGCGTCTGGTCTTGTTGAATGACTTTCATCTCGTGATAGAGGTGCAAAGACTCCAATGATTGTGTACAAGGGGGAGGGTGTTTTGAATTCTCTCATAAACAAATTACCATTCGAGGTACACCTACCTGGTGGCTATCAATACTGTGGACGTAAGTACAAAAGTGAGGTTAGAGATTGAATAACTGATTTTACGTTACAGCTGGAACCAAACTTCAGAAACGGCTTGCACGTGGTGATCCTGGCATCAATCCCTTAGACGTTGCCTGCAAACAACACGACATTGCATATTCACAGAACACGTCTTTGGAAGAACGTCATAAAGCGGATTCGGTGTTGGAGAACGCTGCCTGGGAACGTGTGAGGTCGAGAGACGCCAAGTTCGGTGAAAGAGCTGCAGCATTAGTAGTTACTTCCGGGATGAAGGTGAAACGCAAACTCGGGATGGGATGTTCTTTCAAAAAACATATCGTGGGGAAAATCGGGAAGACGTTGAAGAAGAATCCCTCGACCAATTTGAAACAGGCTGCATCGTTTGCTTTGAAAGCTGCTAGGCATGCCGTTAAACAAGCAGGTGGAAGGAAGAAAGTGAAAATACCACGAATAATTCCTTTCGATGCCAAATCCGGTGGGATTCTACCACTGCTACCAATATTTGCTGCTCTTGGTGCACTAGGATCTCTAGCTGGAGGTGCTGGAGCAATCGCAAAGACTGTCATTGACGCTAGGAATGCGAAGAAAAAGATGGAAGAAGACCATCGACATAACAAGGCTATGGAAACTATTGGCAAAGGACTGTACTTGAGAAGAAACGCCAAAGGAGGTTTCGGCTTGTTTTTGAAAAAGCAAAAAAACTTCCGATGAAGCTACCCAATCGACCGTTGTATGATGTCGAGTTGACAAAGTATGTTAAATATTTGAGAATCCCACATTTTCGGGGTGTTTTCATGCGTGACAACTTACCAAGCAGTGGACCCCGTCAACGCGAATCTGCAATCCTAAATTTGGACGTGTCAAAGAACCAAGGCACTCATTGGGTAGCTTACAGAAAGATAAATGATGTCGTCGAGTATTTCGATTCATTCGGTAGCCTGAAGCCACCGAGAGAACTTGTCCAATATCTGGGCAAAGTCAAACTCTATTACAATAACGATCCATTCCAGAAATATAACCAAATCAACTGTGGTCATCTCTGTCTGGAGTTCCTGTACAATGGAAGCCGTTTTAGCATATCTCCACCGTGAGAAGGCGTTGCAAGACTTTTCCGCAGAAGAATTGGCACTCTTCCCCATCAACTATCTGATCCAACATGTTAGACCTTGGGAACTCTTGGATGTTTGGCATAAATTACCACAGGACTATAGGAAGAACTTTGATCTGAGAATTCGTTTGCCTTGTTACATCCACTATAATAGACCTGATGCTCGAACCCACGTTGATGGACCGGTCAGCTCACAGTTTGAATGTCATGGTTGTAATTATTTCTTGAAGTGTAGAGTTGTCTTGGAATAAATATTCATAAGTATAGCTGTGTGTCATTAGGTACGTCATGTCTCTACTGTTGACCTTGACGAGTACCACCAACCAGTTCTCTTTCACACCCTCCTCACCGATACTACTGCACCCTCTGAAAAGCTATTACATAGCTGTACTAGGATTTCACACCTATCATTCCATACCGAATATTGATGGTGAAAAGTTCTACTACTACGAGAACGATAATCGTGAAGTACTGAAAGAGATTCAGTTTCCGACCGGCTGTTATGAGATAGAAAATATTGAGGATTACATTCGGAGGCAAATTCAAGAAGCTGATGCAGATTTCACTTTGAAGCCCAACAACAATACTTTGAAGTGTGAAATCTATAGTCGACAACATACCATCAGTTTTGAGGAAGATAACAGCTTTGGTGAGTTGTTGGGATTTTCGAAGAGGATCTTGGAACCTGGCCGAGTTCACTGTTCAGATCGTCCTGTGAACATTCTGAAAGTATCAAGCCTACATTTCGATTGCAACATCACTGAAGGGTCGTTTTATGCAGACAGGCCTGCTCACACTATATTAAGCTTCCCCATCACCGTAGATCCTGGTTACGCTATCAACGAACGTCCAAATACCCCTCTCTATTTACCTGTGAGAAGTAGCCTGAGAGACATCACTAACATTACCGTTAGAGTGCTGGATCAGGACCTAAGACCTGTTAATTTCCGAGGAGAAAAGGGCACCCTACACTTGGACTTGCAAGAACGTTGAATGGGTCTAGTAGTTGATAATAAAAGATTAACCATAAACTCCTCAGTATCAACGGGACCTCCGAAGAGACAGGAGCTCACTCCAGAAAACGTTCTCTTTCTGCAAGCAATCGGATTACGAGTGAAAAATGAACAAGCGCAAGTATATTCGTTCGGAAGAATCAACAGCACCAACATTCAACCACACAAACCCAATTTTTGATCTGTATCGTCGGCCCAGATATGATGAAACTATTCGAAAAGAAGAATATCGCTCCTACATCCCATACGTCAAATCCTTCAATAACAATGATATGGTGGAAATCAACAAAAATCAAGCAGACACATTTTTTGCAATGCATGAGTCTTTGCTGGAAATCAAAGGAACGTTGAATGTGCAAGGAGCTGGAAATGTGTACTTGGCCCCCAACTGTGGAGCATTTCTATTCGATTCTTGCAGTTATGTGCAGAGTGCAAGAGAGATAGAAGTAGTCAGAGATCCAGGAATCGTGAGTAGTGTGCGAGGATTCATGTGCTATAAACCTGATGATTCCAAACACTTATCCACAGCCGGATGGACGTATCCTGATAAACCGCTTTTGAATGCAATTGACAAGACATTCAGTTTGTTGATACCACTAAAGCACCTGTTCAACGTTTTCAATGACTACACCTCAATCACCTATGGAAAACAAACAATCCGACTGATTCGAGCTCGTAATGATAACGATTGCGTGATAGTACAGGAACTCCCCAATGGACCTACAACCACTACTACTACTACAGTTGAAGTACAAATACATAGTGTAGTGCTAAAAGTGAAGCACGTATTTCCGAACGATGAAATCAAACTACAACTGATGCAACCCATCAAAAATGATACACCTATACTGATTCCATTCAGGAAATGGGACCTCAGCCAATTGCCTGCTCTTACAAACGGCGCAAAAAGTGAAATTTGGGCAGTCAAAACGAGCGCTTCGGTGGAACGTCCTCGGTACGTTATTGTGTGCTTCCAGAAATCTAAACGTGACAATGCAGAAGCTGATGCTACCCACTTTGATAACACGAGCATAGTTAGTATCAGATTAGCCCTTAATGGTGAATATTGGCCTAATGAGAGAATGCAGCTGGATTTCGCTAAACAAGACTACACCCTTGCTTACTACAACTATACCAGGTTCTATTCGAGCTATTCACATTCGACGGAGGTTCACCCAATCTTGGATTATGGGGAATTCAAACAGCATGCATTATTTGTGATTGATTGCTCGAGGCAGGAAGAGACCATGAAATCATCGACAGTTGATATAAAGCTTGAAATCGAAGCCGATAAAGGATTCCCTGCTGACACCAAAGCCTATTGCATCATCGTACATGACTGTCTGCTAGAGTACTTCCCTCTAACGGAAGTCGTCAGAACCTTGATTTGAGTATAATTACCAACTGCAAACTGCTCGAGCTCGCATTCGATCGTCAGCCGTCATGAGGATCGCACTTGTCGACATTCAAGGCTTCACTCTTGACAGTGTTTTTCACCCGAAAGAGCTGACCATTCAAATTGGCCGCCAGAGATCCAACTTCCTATTCAAACCGCCTACACCGTTTGCTACCATTAGTGGACGTGACAAGAAAACTACATGTTATGTAGAGAAATTCGTCCATGGAATACCATATGATGCTGGTGATGTTGAATATACGGAACTGAACAACATCTTGGAAAAATATCTCTTGCATTCGGTTGAATGTATGTACGTGAGGGGCAATCAGAAAGCTGACTTTTTGAAGACGAAATGTGAAGAACTTGAAGTATTCCCAACTGTATACGATGTTGCTTTGTATGATGGAACACCCTGTTCCAGTAAAACCTACCAGCAAACTATATCGTACTGCCCCAACCACGCCAACGGAAAATATATGTGTGCCCAGCGGAACGTTGATCAACTTTACCAGTGGTTTATAAATGTAATATTACCTAAATGAAGATGTACTGTGTTTGGCTCAATAAACATTATGATAAGGATGGGAGTTTTATTGAAACACCTTGTATAAGTTCCATCATTTTATTCACGATATATGTACCCAGCTTTCATTAGGCCTTTCACAATCAAAACGAACGTAGCTGCTAATGTCAAACCTAGTAATATGAACATTTTATTAAATTCATTCTGTATTCCTGTTGTGGGGGCTCCTATAGTTTGCCAGTCGGTATCCTCTTCAGATCCACCGGAAAACATCAACTTGAGTTTGAAGAAGGAATTATTCGTCTCTGGTATCTCTTTGTAGAATACTGGTAGACATCCATTGTTCACCAACTTATTTCGCATCGCTGTCCACGATGATCGATTGCAATCTTCTTTCGAGTCATTGAAACATATCGCCATGTTCTTGACATCGTTGGGAACATTTGTATACAATACGTTATTCAAAATTGCTGTCAGAACTATGAGTGCCACCCGTGACATTTTGAGGCTGGATGTGTCGTCTCTGCTCAACAGGCACCTCTACTGCTGGTACTCTTCCACAGCTGCTGAAAACTTTATCCCACAAACTCAGATTCTCCAATTGATTCAATACTCTGGTTTTATCTTCGTACAATGTTATGTCTTTGTTCAGCTGTCGAACCCGCTCCCCAAATTCCTCCAACTTGCTTCTGTACTCGTCCAAGGACATTGTAACACTGATTCAAAGGTCAAGTCTGAATAGTGGTAGTGGTAGCTACGCATGCGCACAGCTGATATAAGCTTTGAGACACATCCAATATCCATGATTGATGGCTCGTGACAACAACAAGTTTGAACATGTCTGTTGGATGACTCATCGGCCACCTGCGTCAGAACAATGGACCCATTGTTCTCACACAGATAAGGATGATGCAATCGGATGAGGTTGTTACGTAATCGGACACCTGCAAACAAAGGCGGCATTGTTCTCGTATAATATTGCGTCGCGAATTATCCAATAGCCGGAATTCCAAGAAACGCTGACAGTGGCGTCGAGAGAACAAAGGCGGCATTGTTCTAGAGGAAGGCTAGATAACATAATATGGCAAACAAAGGAGGCATTGTTCTATGAAGTCGAGATAAGGATGACTCATCGACCACCTCTCCAACATGCATATCGGGTGACCTTGTAACAAAGTGCTACCAATTGTAGTAATACCAACCTAAATCTGGTGAGCACAGTCACTAGATTGTGACGTCATCCACCATCTTTCAAAAAGAAGAAGAAGAATGTCCACGCCCATAAGCACTAGAGTCCAGAGTCTAGGGGGCTAAGTTCAGAGTACTTCAACGTGTCATTCCTTGTGTTCCATGTCATCTGTCACTTGTCATATGTTACTTGTCTGTCATCTATCACTTGTCTGTCATCTGTCACTTGTCGTCTGTCACCTATCGCTTGTCATCTGTCACCTGCCACTTGTCATCTGTCACTTGTCACCTGTCACTTGTCATCTGTCACTTCCGGTGGCCATCTTGTGACGTCACTTCCGTGCAGCCAACACCTTCCACCACAGGAACGGTTATGACGTCACTTCCGGCGGCGGCCATCTTGGCCTGATGGTAACGTAGGTACACTACTGACTATGTTCACACTGTAACTCTGCAGTCCAGCATCTGACATGCATACAGTTGATGCAGAAGAGATTGCGGTGACCGTATAAGACGACTTCGAAGTGATTATAACGGGTACAATGGGCAAATGGAGATACATCGACTTCATCGTTGTGCACACTATATCTCTCTATCCCATCATCTTACACGGACACTATTGAAGCAGACAAGTTCGCAATGACCATATAAGACGACTTCCAAACAGGTATTTTGCACACAGCTTGAAAGACAATAAACCTCGACTTCGACTATGTTTACACTGTAACTCTGCAGTATTATATCTGGCATGCATACAGTTGAAGCAGATACGGCTGCAGTGACCATATAAGACGACTTTGGAGGGTATATAGCGAGTACAACATCCAAATGGGGAAATATCGACTTCATCGTTGTGCACACTATATCTCTCTATCCTATCATCCCACATGAACACTATTGAGCAGTTCATATCGACCATATAAGACTACTCCCAAGTGGGTATAAGGCACACAGCTTGCAGAACAAGAAACTTTGACTTCGACTATGTTAACACTGTAACTCTGCAGTCTAGCATCTTACATGCATACAGTTGAAGTATATACGATTGCAGTGATCGTAAAAGATGACATTGAAGGGTATATAACGAGTACGAGAATCAAATGAAGATACATCGACTTCATCGTTGTGCACACTAAATCTCTCTATCTTAACATCTTACATAGACACTATTGAAGCTGACAACTTTGCATTGACCATATATGACGACTTCCAAACGAGTATAACGCACACGATTTGCAGAACAAGAAACTTCGACTTCGACTATGTTTACACTGTAACGCTGCAGTCTTGAATCTGACATGCATACAGTTGATGCAGATACTATTGCAGTGACCATACAAGACGATTCTGGAGGGTATATAGCGAGTACAACAGGCAAATGGGGAAACATCGACTTCATCATCGTACACACTATATCTCTTTATCCTATCATCTCACATGGACACTATCGAAGCAGACAAGTTCGCATTGACCATAGTAGACGACTTCCGAGCGGGTATAACGCACACACCTTGCAGAACAAGAAACATCGACTTCGACAATGTTTATATTGTAACTCAGCAGTCTAGCATCTGACATGCATACAGTTGAAGCAGATATGTTCGCAGTGTCCATATTAGATGACTTCGGAGGGTATATAGCAAGTACTATAGGCAGATGAATATACATCGACTTTATCGGAGTGCACACTCTATCTCTATCCTATCATCACATGGACACTATTGAAGCAGACAAGTTTGCATTGACCATATAAGACGACTTATTGGGTATAACACACACAGCCTGCAGAACAAGAAAAATCGACTTCGACTATGTTTGCATTGTAACTCTTCAGTCTAGCATCTGACATACATACAGTTGATGCAGATATGATCGCAGTGATCATTTTGGACGACTCTGAAGGGTATATAACGAGAACAATAGGCAAATGAAGATACATCGACTTCATCGTCGTGCAAACTATATCTCTCTTTCCTATCATCTCACATGAACACTATTGAAGCAGCCTAGTTCGCATTGACCATATAAGACTCCTCCCAAGCAGGTATAACGCACACAGCTTACAGGACAAGAAACTTCGACGTCGACTATGTTTACACTGTCACCCTGCAGTCTAGCATCTGACATGCATACAGTTGAAGCAGATATGATCGTAGTGACAATATAAGACGACTTCGAAGGGTATATAGCAAGTACAATAGGCAGATGAAGATACATCGACTCCATCGGTGTGCACACTCTCAATCTCTATCCTACACTATTGAAGCAGACAAGTTCGCATTGACCATATAAGACGTCTTTCAAACGGGAATAACGCACAGAGCTTGCAGAACAAGAAACTCCGACTTTGACAATGTTTCACTGTAACTCTGCAGTCCAGCATCTGACATGCATATAGTTGAAGCAGATACGATGGCAGTGACCATATAAGACGACTTTGAAAGGTATGTAACGAAAGACTAATTCGCATTGATCATATGAGACGATTTTCAAGCGAGTATAACGCTTACGATTTGCAGAACAAGAAACTTCGACTTCGACTATAATTACGACGACTCTGAAGGGTATATAACGAGTACTACAGGTAAATGGGGATGCATCGACTTCATCGTCGAGCACACTTTATCATTCTATCCTATCATTCCACATGAACACTATCTAAACAGACAAGTTCGCATTGACCATATAAGACTACTCCCGAGCGGGTATAACGCAAACAGTTTGCAGAACAAGAAAGTTCGACTTTGACTATGATGTTCAAACTGTAACTCTGCTGTCTACCATCTGAGATGCATACAGTTGAAGCAGAAATGATGACAGTGACCGTATGAGACGAATTTGTAGGGTATATAACGAGTACAATAGGCAAATGAAGAAACATCGACTTCATCGTTGTGCACACTATATCTCTCTTTCCTATCATCTCACATGGACACTATTGAAGCAAACAAATTCGCAATGACCATATCAGACGACTTCCCAGAAAATATAATGCACACAGCTTGCAGAACAAGAAACTTCAACCTTGACTATGATGTTCACACTGTAACTCTACAGCCTAGCATCTGACATACATAAAGTTGATGCACGAACGATTGCAGTGACCGTATCAAACGACTTTGAAGTGTTCATAACGGGTACAATAGGCAAATCAAGATACATCGACGTCATCGTTTTGCACACTATATCTCTCTATCCTATCATCCTACATGGACACTATTGAAGCGGACAAGTTCGCAATCACCATATTGGACGACTTCCGAGCTGGTATAACGCACACA